TCATATAGGATAGGTAAATGTCCTTCCCACTTTCCTTTTTTCCTTTTTTTCTCTGCTCTTCCAAGTTTATACAGGGAAGGGAAACTCGGGTACTCCTAGAGGGCTTGGCTGCCAATTGGGGCTAGCTGTAGCTTACTGCTGAATCTCTTTACATCTGCTTTGGATTGTTTTTTGGTCAGCCAAAAAAGAAGTCAAGGGTATTGCTGTGAAGTGGTGGACCAAATAAGAAAATTTCCTGTTGCAGTTTTGTTCTGATTTTTAAATTAATGCCACTCATTTCTCCCTCTTCCCCTTACCACATTACACATAGCCAGTTAATGATAGCCTTATTTTTAGGGATACAATATATAACCCTTATATAGCCCCAGGCTGAAGATCCTGCCTAGGATAAAGAATTTCAGCTCTCAAACTTGGTGTAGTAAGCTCTGGTAGTTAAACCATCCTGAAAGACAGACATATGGTTCAAATTAAAGTCTGCTGCTGTGCATTAAGAGAACGGGTTTTAAATTGCCATTTCAGGCTGCAGACAAATGCTAACCAGCTAGGGTGTTGGGCATTGGGAAGGAGACTTAACAAATTATGGTAAGAACCAATTAGGAGTAGAGCAGTAAGTGAGCAAAGGCCACGTGGATGGAGGGACACTTCCTCACATCACAGCTTCTGCTGTGTTGGAGACCCATCCTAACCCACGCCTCATGTTCTCTCTTCTGAAACTCTTCAGGCTGTTTTACATGATAAGGTCATTAATCCTTCCTATTGCCTGCAGATAAACACTAACAGACATCAATTTTTTTAAATCAACCTTGGCATTTGAGAATTATCTGAAATTAATGGTTCAGTGTTTTAATTTGTATTCAAGATGATGTATAAATCTTTATGTTCAAAAAAATTTATTACAAGAGATTTGAGCAAGAGATTTCTAAATATTCAAACTGTAATTTGAGACTGTCATCTGAGACTGTCTTTGAGACTCTAAGCCTGTCATCCTGTTGAATGGATTTATCTTTGTTTTTTTTCCAGTGTAAGTTTTCCATAATTATAATCAGTGTATGTATAATTTACATGCTGCTTTTGACTTTTTACATTTAAATCAGGAATTTCCCCATGCTATTCCATATGTAGTCATCATGTTTAATGATTGCTTTATTTTACTTACCCATTCCCTATTGTAAAAACAGATATTCTGGAAAGGTCTTTACCCTTTCCTTTGGCATTTATTAGTATATATCAAAACTACCAGCATATTTACTTAACCTTTTGAACTTAACACTGAATTCTCTCATCCCTTCCCTTGCCTTCCTCTCCCTTGTCCTCCTCTTCCCCTCTTTCCCCTCCCATTCCCTCCCCTCCCATTTGTGTATTAAGCACTGAATCTCTTTGCCTTAAGTTTCCATGTTATTTTTGTATTATTCTTGTTCTGTGCTTAATTTAAAGTTATCATTACAGGGCTGGGAAGGTGGCTTAGTGGTAGAGCGCTTGCCTTGCATGCATGAGGCCCTGGGTTTGATTCCTCAGCACTACATAAGCAGAAAAAAAACTGGAAGTGGTGCTGTAGCTCAAGTGGTAGAGTGCTAGCCTTGAGCTGAAGAGCTGAGGGATAGTGCCCAGGCCCAGAGCTCAGGCCCCACGACCGACCAAAAAAAAAAAAATTCAAAAAAATTCATAAAGTTATCATTACATTTACTAGTGTTTGATCTAATACTGTTCTTCATCTTGGGCCATGTGAACTGAACTTGAGCATGTGATAGTATGGTTGATAGTACTTGTCCCCTGAAAGCAAGCCATTAGAATGATCCCAGGCCTTCTCCCTTTTTCTTCCCAAGACTGATGAGCTGGGATAGTTCAGCCCTCCAGTGTTCTTCCAAATGACTAAGTACCTGTGGTTTTAGAGGAGTGATTAGGATCTTTCTGTTCCAAGGCTTGTTGTTACTTCTGGGAGTGACAATTGAAAGGATCATGGTTTAAGGCTGGCCTAGGCACCTTCCTACCACTCATTTCATATCTTCTCAAGGTGAGAAGCTGTGGATTGATGCTTCCTTACTATCGGCATCATTTCATCTCAAAGCTTTGGATGATATAAATCATATGCTGTTACTTCCTTTCTCAGAATCATTTGGTGGCTGCCATGAGCTGACCACAAAGTCTCATCTCTGAGCATTGTCTTTGAAGGGCCTTCTCTGCCCAGCCCCAATTCACCTTTCCTGTCTATCTCTAGCATTAGTAGACTGTTAACATCCTGTGTTTACATTCTTTCTTAAGCCATTTCCTTTCTATGCCAGGCCTTTTCCTCTCTTTCTACCTTTAAAATATCATTTATTTTCAAGGTCTAGTCAAATATTACTTCCTGTATAAAGTGTTAACTGATTTCCTGCAGAAAATATCGTGCTAATGGCTTCCTCCTCCATGCTTCCACAGCCCTTTGTTTATACCTCTCCATTCCAGCCATCACTCTGCCTTACAGCATACTTAATGGTATTATGTATTTATACCCTCTACTAGTTTATGAACGAATGCAGGGGACATAGTTTTATTTATCCTAGTCTCTACTGTGTGGGTTTTTTTTTTTTAAATATACAGCAGAACCTCAAAGAGTCACAGAATTAAACTGCTATAAACTCATTGGGCCAGTCCTCTCCTGAACCTCTGGGCTGCTAGTTCTTCTCACATTAACGATGGCAGTGGGCCAGCTACTAGAGCTTCTTCCTCCTAGTCATTCCTTCCAAACTTCTAAAATTATCTTACTGATCACAGGGGTTTGGAGGTCAGGACCACAATTAGAATCATGACAGCAATGGGAAACTAAATACTTTCATTCATCAATGGACAGAAATGACTTCTCTGAAGTCTTCCTGAGTCCCTATAAGAAATGTCCCCTACCTATCTATACTCACATATTACACATAAGACCTATTCTTCTATCTCCTTTAAAACAAAACAAAATGAAACACCTGTCTCTCTTGTAGAGATGTATTCTTCCTGTACTTCTTTAGGAACTCCTTATTGTTCTTAAACTCTTTCATAATACCTAACATGATGTTTGTTACAATGAGTACTTAACTGATGTTGCCTATGAATGAAATTGAATGTAAAGCCTTACCAACTAATTTTTCCCCCCTCCTTTATACATAGCCTAGGCTAATCTCTAACTCATATTTCTCCTGCCTCAGGCTCCCAGTCTTATGATGTGTGCTACCACTCTTGGCTATTCTACAAGTATTGAAACACAAAAACTTTAATTTGCACCTAAGGTCTGCATACACTGAACATTACCAAGGTTTTTCTGAAGAGAATGGATAGTAAGTTCTTAAAAGGCTCAAGAAAAGAGATCTAGGGAGTGGCACTGTGGCTCAAGTGGTAGAGCACTAGCCTTGAGCTGAAGAACTGAGGGACAGCGCCCAGGCCCAGAGTTCAAGCCCCAGGACTGACCAAAAAAAAAAAGAAAGGAGATCTAGGAGTTAGAAGTCTTTGGGAATAATGTAGAAAGACAACTCTAAAATTTGGTTTGCAAGGATCTACCTGCACCAGGTCCTTTTCATGACTGGCCTTCCTCTTTCCCATCATGCTGATGAGAAGTAGGGATAGTTTCTGTATGTATTAAACAGTCTAAGCCCAGGGCCTAAACAGGTTAGCTATAAATTTTCCTAATTAGCAGCTCCATTGTATAGGATATTTCTCATGTTGGATTCCTAATGCCTTGTCTATGATTGTTAACATTTTCCTCCTTGTAGAGGGGGAGAAGCACAAACTTAATGGCACAGGCTTGTTTATTGATAGTCTGAACAGTAAATCTTCACAAAGAAAACAGTGTCAAAGGAAACAAGCTTTGATGATGGCTCATGTTCTTAGTATTTCTCCTAAAGACTCACTCCTACTCCTTCCACCCCTTAGAATAGTAAGAGGGAGCTGAAGCCAAACTATAAACCTTCTCGTTCAAGTTAACATGTTCTTCAGAAAAAAAAAAATGACGGTGAAAAGCAGGGAAGGAACTTTCATCCAGTATGTTATCGCTGTACCAGGAAGGCTAGGTGACCAGAGTCGTGAGCCCTGTCTTCAGCGGGTACTGACATGAGCTCCCAGGTTTAGAGAGAGAGAGACACAGACTGAGAAGCATGCAGAGCCAGTCAGTCTTGGTCATCTGTGGTTTCATTGGTCACTGCATCTCAGGATGGGCCAGGCAGACCTTGTCACAATAATGGAGAGCCACAGCTGCCTGGGGGTAGATTCCACTCTTGTCTCAAGACGTTTATCTGTCAGATCTTTTGTTCCTGGAGTCCAAGGTCAGTCAGTGTACTACAGAAAGATTGAGCAAGGAGACATATATAAAATGGAAGCAGATAGAGAGGCTGAGTGTCTTTTTCCTACTTTTAGTTTCTTTTGGAAGTCTGCAGGACTAAGTGAAGAATCGGTGCTTTTAAAAAACAAACAAACAAAAACAAAAGCAGCCTATAAGTCCTTGTTATAGTAACATCAGTCATACAGTCCCCTCCATTATTCCACTGAGGATGAAAGCCAGGGCCTGGGGTACCTGTAGGCAAACTCCCCACCACTGATCTACCCACTAATTTCATTTCATTCGCCCTCCCTCTCTCCCTTTCTTTCTCCCTCCCTCCCTCCCTCCCTCCCTCCCTCCCTTCCTCCCTCTCTCCCTCCCTCCCTCCCTCCCTCCCTCCCTCTCTCCTCTTTCTCTACTTTCTCTCTGTCCTGGGGCTTGAATTCAGAACCTAGGTGCTGTCCCCAATCCTTTTTTGCTCAAGACTAGCGCTCTACCACCTGAGCTACAGCTCTGCTTCCAGCTCTTTTGGAGGTGTTTAATTGGAGATAAGAGTCTCAGGGACTTTCCTAACCAGGCTGGCTTTGAACCTAGATCCTCCTGAGTAGTTAAGATTATAGGTGTGAGCCACCCAGCTTCAAACATTCTCTTTTTGAATTTTATACTCAAACCTGACGATTCCAAACGTTCATCTAATGACTACACGAGCTGTGTCCATTTGTCTTTCTAGATTTCGGCTTCAGTAACCTCTTCACTCCTGGGCAGCTGCTGAAGACATGGTGCGGCAGCCCTCCCTATGCGGCTCCCGAGCTCTTTGAAGGAAAGGAGTACGATGGGCCCAAGGTGGACATCTGGGTGAGTAGCTGCCTTCTCTTACTCCCAGCCAGCCCATCACCAGATGGCACCCATCCTCGTCCTGGAGGACGCTCAGCTCTGCATGCAGTCTTCTCTCCAGCACTCATTTTAGGGGTTGAGCCTTGGGTTTCAAACCAACCCTTTCACATCTACAAAAAGCCCAAGGGCCAATGCGGCTGGGCACCCTTACCAAGAACAGACATTACTCTTGGTCGTTGCGGCGTGCCTTATGCCTGAACAAGCCCTGGGGAAAAATTGGGGATCTTACCCCAAATTCAGGTCTGGAGGCAGAGTTGAGCTAACTGTTCAGATGCAGGTTGGCCTCCACACTGCTGCATGGTATGTCATAGAAAAAGAAGACTTCCATCCTTTGTTGTGTGACTCTCCATCTTCACACACTGTAACAGCCTCTCTTGTCTCCTCTGGTGCGATTAATTGTTGATCCTCTCTGTTTGGGGTGCAGAGTCTTGGCGTTGTCCTCTATGTGCTTGTGTGCGGTGCCCTGCCCTTTGACGGGAGCACGCTGCAGAACCTGCGGGCCCGGGTGCTCAGTGGAAAGTTCCGCATCCCATTTTTTATGTCCACAGGTAAGGAACTTGTCAGCACACAGTTACTACTGGGTTCATGGAAACTGAGACATGCTTTGTTATCCCAGGGGTTTCGTAATGGCGGAGAAATGGCCCACTTAAACAACCTTTCTTACTGCCTGTTTGCTGTTCTGACACCCTCAGGAGGCAAGGTGTGGTAAGAGGAGGACCAACGTTGGCATCATCACACAGCTTTGCCTGTGTTTGAATTTGGATCCTGCCTATTACTAAGTCTGTCAGAGCTTTAGCTTCCTCAAAGTATAAACTGCTATGTGGACTAAGTTAAATAATGTATGTAAAGGGTCAGTAGGCCCATTCCACAGTAGTGATGCAATAAAAATTCCTGTCCCCTACCTCTGTTCATTATTACAAAATGCCAAGGGGAAAGCAGGCTTTAGTCTTCATGCCATCCATTTCTTTGGTTGTGTCATAGATAACTAGACTCAAATAATATTATTTTTTTAAAGAAGTGGGCAGTAGGGTAAGTAGTCCTTGCAAAAATTTAACACCAAAAACAGATAGCAGATACCCAGAGTCTACATTTAGCAGATACTTGGCATCTACTGGGGTTTTTGTTTTTGACTAATTAGGGAGTTTGAGATAGGGTCTTGATATGTAGTCTAAACTGGCCTCCAGCTCACAATCTTCCTGTCTCAGCCTCCAAAGTACAGGGATTGCAAGTGTGCACCATCATGCCTGATTGTACAATATTTTTCACCGTATATATGAATATAGCTATATATGTACATATATATGTGGACGTTTTCAGGATAGAACTGAGTTTTGCTTAATCATCTGTTTTCATTTTAAAGAATATATGTTGACTGAATTGGCAGCAACAGCAGTTGGGAACTGCACTTTAAAATAAGTAGAAATGTGGACTAGATTTAACTTTGTGTCTCTTCAGAATTGATGACTTAGTTGTATGAGATACTGCTCAAAGGAGGAGGCTACAATGCTTGATAAGAAATGTACCCACTATCTTGCCCATGTAATTGTAACCCCTCTGTACAGTATTTTCATAAAAAAAAAGAGAGACTGCTGAAAGCAATAGGGAAGTTGCTCAGGCTGGTTGGTGGTGGGAGGTGGTCTGGAAGGGTGTGGTCAGAGGAGACATTTGAGCAAAGACTGAAAGACAGTGAGACTTTGTGAGAGTGCCCCTCCCCCCCTGCAGCAACCCCTGGGAGGGAATGTGCTCCAACCTGATGGATGTGTGTACTCAGGAGGGAAGGGTGGCAGCACAAGGTAAGGAAGGTCACAGAGGTAAGGGGAAGCCCCACGGAGGGCTAGTCAGTTGATGGAAAGACTTGTTTTACTGTGAGTGAAATGTGAAGAATTGGAGGGTTTGACAGAGGAATGACATGGTCTGATTTGGGGGGTGTGGGATTCTCAAGATTTGTTATGAAAAATTAAAACATATAATAATTGAAAAGTGCTCTAGTCCTTTCTTCTCATTGCCTTCCACTCACTTCCTCTCATAGCACATGGTTTAGGCTCTTGCTCCTGTGATCCACCAAAGCCATACTTGTAAATCCAGCACCCAGTTCTGGGTCCTCTTCCATGACTGAGAAGCTCCACAACTCCTTGCTCCTCTCTTGGGACATTTGTCTTCACTTTGCTTTCAGACAACCAGACTCTGGATTTCCACACTAGTCATTCTGTAGACGATCCCTCTTCAATTCCCTCATCTCTGAACACTAGTATGTTCCAGTGCATAGTCCCTGGCTGCCCCAAGAGTGATCTCATCTTGTTGTACTCAGTGTTACACTGATGATTTCAAATACATGTCCCAGGCCTGGAAGTCTCCTCAATTCAACAGCATCTTACTTTGATATCTAACCTGAGGTATCAGTTCAGGTGGACACTTGCTGCCTAGGCAAACTTGACAGGTCTGAGATATTTCTCCCATTGAAGCGGTCTTCCTCAGTTAGCCCCATCCCAGTTAACAACACTTCCTCCGTGTTGCTCACACCAAAACCTTTCATTGACCTTTATTTTCTCCCTTTACATCCAATTAAATGCTGAATGTTGTTGAAGCCCCACTGTCTAGGTTCAGCTTCTAGTTCTGCCACTTAGTATTTTCTAGCCTCAGTACCATCACCTGTAAAAGGAGGGTGGCAATGTTAACATCTCATAAAGAGTTGTTACAGTGCTTAAAGGAGTCTGTGTTTATAAAATACTATGACCAATGCCTGCCTAAGAATATGTAGCTTTCCTTGAATTTGACTTTTAACCAGGACCAACTCTATATCATTCTGGGAATCTAGCCACCAACATCATTCATCTGAGTTGTTCTAAGTCTCTTGCTCACTGGTCTCCTTCCTTAAGTCTTTTTACCTTTGGCATAGTAGTAACATAGTAACTACAGTGATCTTTAAAAAGTTGCTGTAAAAGTCGGGTGTGGTGGTGCATGCCTGTAATCATAGCACTTGGGATACTGAAGCAGGAAGATTGAGAGGTTGAGGCCATCTTTAGCCTACATGGCAAGTTAAGAAAAAAATCACCCTGAATTTTTTTTTTTTTGGTGCCAGTACTAAACTCCATATCTGCCTTTTAGCTTTTTCTCTCAAGGTTGGCTCTCCACTTCTTGAACCTTACCCTCATACGTTCACTCTGGCCTTTTGATGGTCAATTGGAGATAAGAGTCTCATGGACTTTCCTGCCTAGGCTGACTTCAAGCCACAATCCTTGTAGCTCAGCCACTTGAGAAGCTAGGATTTTAGATGTGAGCCACCTGTTCCTGCCTAGGTAACTCAAGGTGGTCTGAATTGTTTATTCAGTAGACCAATTGGTTTTTATATGTTTTTATTATTTGGGTTATTTTGTAGATTATAGGTGACTTGAAATTTGTTGTTGTTTTGTTTTTTTGTTGTTGTTGTGTCATGGGGTCTGAACTCTGGGCCTGGGCACTGCCCCTCAGCTCTCAAGCTCAAGGCTAGTGCTCTATGACTTGAGCCACAGCACTACTTCCTGCTTTTTTCTGCTTACGTGGTCCTGAGGAATCCAACTCAGGGCCTCATGCATGCAAGGCAAGCAGCCTACCACTGAGCCACCTTCCCAGCCCAGGTGACTTGAAGTTTTAAAACAATGTCAATCTACTATAGAGTTGGCTTTTTTTTTTTTTTTGTCCCAGGCAAAACAGATTGGGTTCAGACCCGTGTTTTAGGAGTTCAACTTCTTATAAGATCTCAGAGCACAGGGCTGGGAAGTTGGCTCAGTGGTAGAGCGCTTGCCTTGCATGCCTGAGGCCCTGGGTTCGATTCCTCAGCACCACATAAGCAAAAAGAAAAAAAGCCGGAAGTGGCGCTGTGGCTCAAGTGGTAGAGCGCTAGCCTTGAGCTGAAGAGCTGAGGGACAGTGCTCAGGCCCAGAGTTCAGGCCCCACAACCGGACCCAAAAAAAAAGATCTCAGAGCACATCCTTTAGATAACCCCCAGCCTAAACTGTGGAAGGGTGAGAGGATAAAACTTTGTTTTTCTGGGCTATTACAGAGTAGAAGACCTAGATGGCCATACATGTCAACAGAGCTGTTACTGACCCCCCTCTCTTCCTACTAGAAGGTAGCAACTTAAATGTTTATGAGTATCAGATTTATTCACTAACTATATTTTTTTTCAACCAAGGGATACCTACGTGTTAAGGCTTAGTTTGCCCTATTCCTCTAGTTTACCACCTGCTAGGAAACATAGCAAGATTGTTTATTTAACTGAATGAAAATTAATTTACAGTTAAAAAAAAACTTCAGTGATGGTGAGTGCATAGAGATCTCTTGTGGACAATATTTCTGAGCCTTTATTGATTAGACTTCATTGTGACTTAATTAGTTGTAATACTGCATAAGCATTTTATCACTGGGAATGCAAGACCCAGGCTTACATAATGCTTCTGATGGAGAATATACCCTGCAGCTACTGCCAAAAAGCTTCCACTTACAGACGAATAGCTCTTCCCTGTTGGGCTTACTCATCAAGAACCACACAGCTCCTTGCATGGCTAAAAGCACTTTGTTTAGAGAGAACAGGGCAGGAGAGAGAAGTTGCTCACCCACCAGTCTCTCTACACTCACGGGCTCAGAGTTTTCGCGACAGTTCTTTTTTTTTTGGGGGGGGGGGGGTCCGTCGTGGGGCCTGAACTCTGTGCCTGGGCGCTGTCTCTCAGCTCTTCAGCTCAAGGCTAGTGCTCTACCACTTGAGCCACAGTGCCACTTCTGGCTTTTTTCTTTTTGCTTATGTGGTGCTGAGGAATCGAACCCAGAGTCTCATGCATGCAAGGTGCTCTACCACTGAGCCACCTTCCCAGCCCTGGCATTAATACTTATACTCAAAACAACCCAGTGAGTAAAGCTGTTATGTGAGGTAAGGTGTGATGGGAACACTAGTCCAGTAAGATTTAGAAACACCCCCAAGGTCACACCTCTAGTACGTAGCAGAACTGACATTTGAACCCTGGCAGTCAGGCTCCAGAGACATCTACCTTGGACTGATTACATTTTAGTTCTCAATAAATACATAGCTGGCAGTTTATTCCAAGTAAAAAGGATTCCTGGAGTGGATCTGTTTGTCCATCTACATCTGCATAATTTTATCAAAGAAAGAGTTCACATGTAGTGGGTATTAGCTTGGAGTAAAACTGAAGTAGAGTTTTATTCTATAATAATAATTGATAGAAGGACTCAGAAAAGCATCTGAATAATGGTATGTTGGTATGAGCAGCAAACCTGTGTGAAGGTGAGCTCTAAAATGGACAACTCTTAGTGGCACAGTATAGGAAGCTGGGGCTTTTCAAAGTGGGGGCTAGAATTATGAGCAGCAAACCTGTGTGAAGGTGAGCTCTAAAATGGACAACTCTTAGTGGCACAGTATAGGAGGCTGGGGCTTTTCAAAGTGGGGGCTAGAATTAAATATGGGCATCTCCATATTTAATGTCACTTCATTGCTGGCTCAATTCTGGAAGCATCACAACTACCTGGAAAAATAAGGAAATTCAGGACTGGGGTATAA